AGTTAATCTAAAGGAATTAAACAAAAAGAATGTTCCAGCTTCCATTTTATTAATACCCTAAGCCACAATGTGGTATTTGTAAATTTGTTTGTAACACACAAACGGTTAGACCTATACTTTCTTTTGATGATCTGCATAGAATCATATTCTAAATCGGCCGTTTTCTGTTACATGTCGCATTGATCTATGAAGGTGCTTTTGGTATCTGGGAATTTTTTATTACTGTCGCTGTTCATATTCATGTGTACTACAATTGTACGAAAAGTACTATATGGTACTATATTTGAAAGGGATAGGGTTTGAATCCCGAAATTTAATATGGTGATGTCTGTTGGTATCTGGTATTGAGATGCAGAGGTGGCTTTAGAAATTTGTTCTATAATTGTACGAAAAAGTACTTAAATTGGTATTAAGTGAAGGAATAGAGCTGAAATCCTTCAATTTGATACGGGTGTCATCGTTGGTGTCTTTGGTTAAGATATGAAGGTGGTTTTGGAAATGTGTACTATAATTGTTCGAAAAGTACTTGGTGATACTAAATGGGGCATTTAGTGAAGGGACAGAGCTGAAATCTTAAAAGCTGATATTAAGGTATCTGTTGGTATCTGAGATTAAGATATGGAGGTGGTTTTGGAATTGTGTACTATAATTGTACGAAAAGTACTAAATGGTACCAAATTTGATATTGAGTAAAGGAATAAAGCTGAAATTCCGAATATTGATGTTGAGGTGTATGTTGGTATCTGACATTGAGATATAGAAGTGGTTTTGCAAATGTGTACTATAATTGTACGAAAATTTACTAAATTTGGTAATTTTGGTCCCTGATGGTATGAGTTAAGGAGATTGTTTTGAAAAACCTACTATAATTGTTCGAAAAATACTAATTGCTACTAAATTTGATATAGGGTGAAGGGATAGAGCTGAAACTAAGAAATTTTATATGACGATAATGCTGGTGACTAGAATTGAGATATAGAACGATTTTGCTAACGAGTACTAAAATGATACGAAAAGAACTAAATGTTACTAAATTTGGTATAGAGTGAATGTATAGAGCTGGAATCTGAAATTTGATATTCGAGTCCCTGCTGATATCTGGTAGTGGTTTTGCAAATGCTTAGGCATGGAGCTGAAAATCTAAAACTTCATATTGAGTTAACTGTTCCTTTTTGTGGTTTACATATGGAGACGTTGAATTAGTTTTGGACCGAAAAATATTAATATCCTCCTCTGTAAACATCAACACGAAATTTTTGAAAATTTTTGGTGTAAAATGTAAACATTTTCCTATTATTCTTTCCGAAAAAGGAACAACTTAAATAATTTAAAAAACTTTAAACGTCAGAAAATTTAGTACGATGTATGAAGTGTCGATTAAAAATATTCCGGAACAGTGTTGGGCTTTATTGTTCGCGATACCGTGGTTTGTTGTTGCAAAATAGTTAGATTCATTGTTGTTTTTGTTTTTTTTTTAACAATGTTTGTTGATTAGTGGAGATGCCATGGTTTGGGAAAGAGCCAACTTTCCTCACTCGATTTTGTCTGGGATTATTCTCCCAGGGGTTATTTTAAAACAACTCCTATGACAAAAACTTTTTTTACCTAAATGAATAATATTGAAAAATTAAAAAAAAAAAAAAAACATTGAAATTCTGATAATTAAGTACGATGTATGAAGTTCTGATTATTTTTTTAACGTAATAAATTGTGCATTTTGAGAACCTAAAAGGCCTAACATGAACTGTTTTTACGTCGGATACGAGATCGACTATATTGACCCACTTATTCGGTACCTCCCATATAGAAGGTCAACATTTTGAATAACCGTAAGGATACATATCTGTCGGCAAAAACGAGAGATAGTTCTTGGAGCGAAATTAAGCTAATGTAAATTTTGACATATATCGGCTAATTAATATTACTTTTGAGTGTTAATCTAATTTTAGTGAAGTATGTGATGTGTATCTTTGCTGATTGGCTCCTTGAAGTGCATAAAGTCCATTGATTTTAGGTATATAGTGTGTCAGGCATTATCGCAGATAAAACACGTGGATTATTTTTGTGGACATTTTTAACCCTCATGCTAGTCATGAAATGGGTCTTTTTGTCCCTTTTTGAAAACAAGGTTAAACAGTCTCTTAAAACAGGATCCTAGCAAGTCAAAGTATTTATCATTATCATTAAATTCGACTACTGGTCTTGAAAACTATCAAAATTCTACAGTTTACCTAAACGAGAGGAATTCATAAAGATTATTATGCATATGTTTTGAAGTTAGAGGCATACTTTATGTGAGTTTATGTGAAAATCGTTTTAAAAGACTGAGCTAAATGGCAAATATATTTTCCAAATAATGATGTATTAAGGGAGACTTTGACATGGATTGGAAACTTATTAAATGATCAGTAGAAAATCAAATCACTTGTAGAACATAAATTTGGAATGCAATTTTCTTAAAAACAATTAAACCTAAATATATGACTTAATCTGAGATATGCAGTGAAGTTTTGTGTACATTAGTTCTTCTTTCGACATCTTCTACATAAAAGTAATAAATTTATAGAATATTTCCGTTTTTTTTTTTGTTTTTTTTTTTCACAAACTCACATAAATATATTTTCCTTAAAATAAGGATTTAATATATATGAACTCCTGGCGTTTACTATTAACGTTTTCTAAGACCTATAATAACATTATATGAAAATTAAGAAAAAAAAAAACATTAAGTTCGGCCGGACCGAAATTTTAATACCATCCACTACCTGTTAAAAAACATTTTTATATTAAAGTATCTGAATTGAAACGTCTTCCACTTTAAACTACAAATACCACTAATATCGTTTGAATAATGCTGCTAAACTTTTCAAAAGACCATAAAATGGGTGAGGCCGTTGTATGGGGACAATACCAAAACGGGTACCTCTATGGACATTTTTAAACTTAAAAGATTGTCATCTACCAAATCTTCTTAAATACCAAATTTGAAACAGTTTCGTGGGTAAATGTGACTAGGATTATCGAAATAACGAATATCGGTTGGTATCGTTAAACAGGGTGATATAAAAAGTTGCAACAAAGCCAAACATTTTTTACAAGTTTTTTTTTTTAATTTTATTGAATGAATGCAAAAAATTTCGGATATAGCATCAAATTTAAGAATAGGTTTAGATTTTTTCGAAGTGGTCACCTTTGGCACGAATTATGGCCTTCAAACGGCCAATGAAACCATCACACGCTGCCCGAAGCGCTTGCTTGAGGTGATCGACACTTTGGTATTTTTAGTGCCAACCTTGCTTTCCAAAATACTCCACACAGAATAGTACAACGGATTGGTATCCGGAGATTTTGGTGGCCATTCTGCGCTGGAATGAAGCGAGGATCCTCATTTTGTAACCATTCTTGGGTGGCGCGTGCTGAGTGCGATGATGCTGAGTCCAGTTGGAATGTCCAAGGTCTGCGGCAAAAATGTTTGCGTGCCCAATGCTTTAATACACCCTCCAGAATATTTTCGCGATGATATTCGTCATTTATTCTGATCGATTAATACGAGCGGGGAGCGACCATCGGCTGTCATGGCGACCACGACCGGCGCTTGAGTTCTGGTGGTCAACCGAAGGTGCACATTTTCAGCTGATCTCTTTGGCAAGTAAACACAATCATTTCGTTTGTTTACAAACTGCTTGGCAACAAATGTTTTCTCATCGGAGAAAACCATATTCGTCAGTTCACAACTTTCGGCCGAGCGAAGTAACTCTTTAGCCGTTTGAGTCTATTTTTTTCTGTTGCGGTGTATGTTCTTGAACTTTGGCTTTACCCCGAGCTCATTTTCAAATATTTGCCGAATGGAATATTGCGATATGTTCAGCTCACGAGCCATTTTTCGGCCACTGCGACGCGGGTTTCGATCAAGTCGCTTCTTTACTTTTCGAACCATTTCTGGTGATGTTGCTGTTTTCTTTCGTCCACTTCTTGACGTCGGGCTACGCTACCAATATCGCGGTAACGAGCGATGGTACGAGACACAAAAGATTTATTCAGATTAAATGCTGGAGTGCTCTAACGATAGCCTCTTGATGTTTGCCAGCCAAATATAAAGAAGTCACACTATCACTCTTTAATTCCATCACGAATAACTTTTTTTCTGGAAAATTCTCACCAAAATGCTTTTGTACGCTTGTAAACACTAATAATGAACTGTTTATAGAATTATGCATGCCCCTCGAATACTGTAGATTCCGCATTTCAGATATAAGTTTGGCCTGTTGAAATTCGAAATAATCGAATCGGATTTGATATTTCGAACTTGTAATAAGCGCACCTTCACTGGCAAATTATTGGCTATAGAGGTCCATGTTTTCGTATAGCCCCATATTACTGTACCTCCAGGTATTCTGTGTTTTGATGATTTGTTTAAATTTTATTATTCGGAGTCCGTAATGGATACTACCTTATGTGACTGAAAATTTGCCTATAGGAATGGCTGATTTCTGCCTCGTTACAGGAATAATTGAACCCCAAAGATTATTTCCAATTTCTTCACCAGTTTAATAAAAACACCAAAATACAAATTTCATTTTAAATATATTTTTTTTTTTTAATTTTTATTTATTTTTCGATTTTAATTTTTAAATGTTTTAGCCATTTTTTATTTGTATAATTTTGGTATAATCGCAATTTATGTAGGTATGTATGGGTGTGTGTGTGTGTTCGTACATAGTAATGTATATATATGTAAAGATTGACGGAATTAATCATAGAAAATATAAAAAATATACATACATAGAATGTAGATATCAAATTTTGGAAACAAATTTGGACTAAGCCCACGAATAAGGAAGATTGAAGACAAATGAAAAATAGAGCTTCTTTGGCGTTTCCAAAAACTAAAAAAAATTATAATATTTTTTCTTATCATGATGTTAATGTAAATGATTATGATTTTTGCTTTTTAGTTTTTGTTATTTGCTCTTATTATGTTTTTATTTATTTATTTATTATTATTTTTTTTTTTTGGCTAAAAACGCAAATTATTACAAATTACATTTAAAATTTTTTTTATTTTTTTTAATTAATAATTATCAAATAATTATTTACATATATTTTTTGTTTTGTTTGTTTTATAAATTTTAAATTTAGTTTTAGTTGTTTCCATCTCATCTCTTCAGTGTCACTTCTATATTATGTTGAGAATGCGATTCTATAATTTTTATTTTTTTTTTTTTTGTATGTAAAGTTTTGAATTGTGATTTATTAATGTTTAAGTACAAAAAACATTTAATATGTTCAGGACTAAATGTACCTTAGGCGTGATAACACATGGATGAAAAAATTCCGGGGTGTTGTGATGAGTTCAATAAATATTTATTTAATTTTTCAGTTCAGTGGTGCCTTGAAATGTCTAAATTTGTGAAACGACTTAACCCCAATTTCCCCAGTCCATGTTTTACCAACCCAATTTAAAAAATGCAAACTAAACTTATTATTATAGAAATGGAAGGATTGGGATAAGTTATACTTATGTATATTTAAATAACAAAAAATAAAATAAAATAACTAACTTATTTTTTTTTCTTCTTCTTCTTCACATTCTTAACTAATATTGAAAAAAAAAAAACAATACAAAGAAGAAAGGTTTTCGAAAATCGCTTTGTTTAAAAAATATTTTTTTGTTGATTTTTTTTCTGTGTTTTTTATTAAAATTCATAGATATTTAACAATTAATTGACACTTAATAGTAATAATAATAATTAAATACATATTTTATATTTAAGGAAACACATAGAAATTTACATAGGAAACAAAATGGAACAGATTTACTTAAACACTGGTAGTCATAGCTAAAGGATGGATGTATGAATGTGTGTTTGTAAATTTTAAATAAGAAAAGGGGATTTTACAAAGCCAGCTTTAATGGAATGTTATTAGGTGTGTTCGCACCTATTTCAGAAAAAGAATTGAGCAAAATACAGGTTGGCAAAACACATTATTTTTTAAAGAAATATATAAAACAGAACATGGTATGTTTTCAGTCTAAATTTTATATAGATATAAAAAAATAAAAAACAATATAGAAAAATATAAATATAATTATATAACTTAGTTTTTTTTTCAACACATTAATTGGGGATGCGGCAGGAGGGCTTCAGATGTTTTATTTTATAGTTTTAGAAAATAGAGTCAGCGGTCCTGTCAGACTTCAGTCAGTCAAAATATATTAGAAAAATAATTTGTTTTATTTTTTAAACACATTCATTAGTGGCCGATAATAGCGAAGTTATTTAAATAGCAAACTATGTGATATAAACTCCGATCTGGATTTAATGAAGCGTATAGATTTTCAAGGGTTACTTTGGCTAGGAATGGTAAAACTTCTGCTCAAACGGATTTAAAAGCTAAAGTTACCGAAAAATTCACGAAACACAAGAGAAATGTGCATAGGATCAGTCGCAGGTCTTTCTATGAAAGATCTTTTGCAGATCCTCCTCTGGAAAAGACCTAAAGTAGGTTCTCTATGACAAAAAATGTTACAAGTTTCCATTCTTACGTAAAAAACGCTCTAAGTTCGGATGATGAAAAAAACTTCAACTTCAAGCCATTCAGATTCCAAAAAGTGCAAGAACCTACACATACAGAAATAAAACAGGCTCAAAAGAGCTAAAGAGTTACTTCGCTTGGCCGAAAGTGGTGAACTGCCGAATTTTGTTTTCTCCGATGAGAAAACATTCGTTGTCCAGCAGTTGGTAACAAAAAACCAGTTAAGAAAGTCTTAAAGTCGGGTGGGGCCGACTTTATGATACCCAACACCACTTTGCTAATTTAGTAGAGCTCCGCATAACAATTAAACGTTTTAATGGGAGAATTCAATCATACACGCCATGATTATAATTATAATTTAAAGTTCAAAGGACTAAATATGCCGAAGCATTTGTGTCTTTTAAATTCGGACTTGTATTGCCCATTGCACAATTAATTTGAAATCGGATAAAAATATATATGGGAGCTATATCCAAATCGGAACCGATCCCGATAAAATTTGGCAAAGATATTTCTGAGCTGTATTTGATATATTTCCCTGAATATCGTTGCATATTACGACTGTGGGTAACAAATATGACAAATCGGATCGGATGGGAGCTATAGCTATATCTGAACCGATCTTCACCAAATTTGACATACAAGCTTTTAGACTCAATTCGGTCGTAAGTGCCAAATTTCATCCAATTTGGGCAAATATTAGATGTTTGGTGCACAATAAAAGGTAAATCGGACGAAGTTATATATGGGAGCTATATCCAAGTCGGAACCGATCTCGATAAAATTTAGCAAATGTATTTCTGAGCTGTATTTGATATATTTCCCCAAATATTGTTGTTACAGCGTGCATATTACGGCTGCGGGGGGCAAAAATAACAAATCGGATGAACAATATATATAGGAGCTATAGCTATATCTGAACCGATTTCGATCATATTTGGCATACTTATTTTCAGGTCCAATCTGATCGTACGTGCAAAATTCCATACTATTCGGACTGATATTACACGTTTGGTGCACAATAAAAGGCAAATCGGACAAAGATATATATGGGAGCTATATCTAAATTTTGACCGATTATCTCCAATTTCAATAGGGTTCGTCCTTGGGCAAAACAAATGATTTGTGCAAAATTTCATCTGGATAGGGCAAAAAATGCGAACCGTACTTTGTTTACAAAAATACATGGACAGACGGACGGACGGACATGCATAAATCGACTCAGAATGTGATCCTATCTCGTTTCCTTTTGCCTGTTACAAACAAATGCACAAAGACATAATACCCTGACCACCTTGTGGTGTAGGGTATACAAAATATATAAAAATTATGGCGTGTGACTCTGTTGCAGTTTTTTTTACCTTACCCTGTACTGAAGTCTCCCAGTAGATCATAAATATATAACGCGGAATGAACACCCCAGCTGGTCTTTGGTGGAAGGAACACCTAAAATATATTTTATTAGTAGAACGCGAAAGGACGAAAGTCCTCTAGATAAAAGAAAACCTGCTATCCATAGACAATTTAATAGGTGTCTTCTATTTACAGAATACCTGTTAAGGCCATTCAATCCATAGAATACCTTGAAATTATGAATGTGTTCCAATCTTATAATTGTTTTAATCGCTTTTTATCGAAGTGGAGATATTCAGAGTTTTCAAATATTATTCATTTATTTATTAAACTACTTGTAAATATCATTTAGTCTCTCACGGTAATTTTCATTTCGTTAGCATTCGATAAAATTTAATATTAAATAAATTCATTTAAATAAAACCCAATTATCCATTTATTCCATAGCAACCTCTTGCAACCAAAATTAAACTCATTGTCATCGTCCACGTCATTAAGTTTTCATCGACACGACAATGGCTTTCATTAACATTGCCTGCATCGATTTTAAATACTTCCTCGTACAATTACCTCCTTTTGTGGAATATTAAAACTTAATGTTGCATTTAACAGTCAAACATGGCTATAATACATTTGATGGGTAGGACAGTTCATAAATTTCAATTAAAAATGATTTAATTACTTAAAACTCCTTTAATAAAATGGATATTATAACCACTTTCAACTGTTGGCCCTATAAAAATAAAAAAGAAACTTATGAAAAATACAATTCAACAAAAACAACAGAAAACTTTTCATTATTTAATATCATCATCACTGGCAAAAGCATAAAACGAATCTCAGAAATTCTTCTGGTCAACCAACTAACTTTCAGTGCGTTCGCTTCTCCCGAACAGTGATAAAATGAATCTGGCCAGTTTGTTGTGATGGATTTTAAGTGAAAATGTAGCCTCCTCTCTGGGTCCATCGTTGGGTTCATACTCTACATTTGTTTGTCGTCATGATTCTTCATTTTTTCTTTGTTTTTTTTTTCTTTTTCGTGAAATGCTCAGTTTTTTCTCGTTTATTGTTTTGTTGATTTTAGTGGTAGTAATAGCTGCTGTTGTAGCCCCGTTGGTTGTTGTTGTTGTGTTGGTTTAAAAAAAAGTTCTTCAGTCAGTCAAGTTCTTTATTTTCTTTTCATCATCAATCCATGCCATCTCATCAAATATTTATTCCCCTGTGTTTTTTCTTCATCCTCTTTTTTGTTTTGGATTCCACTTTTCGTCTTTCAAACCCAAATACCCTATGCCATACCATATTCAGAATTTAACTGCCCTCATCGGTGATGTTGTTGCGTTGCTGCTGCTGTTGTTGGTGGTGTGGTTGTTGTTGTCCTCGTCGTCCTCACGCTTTTGTTGTGGTAAACAACCATCGTTGGGTCTCCAATGCCGAATTGCATCGCTGCGCGGAGACACCGACCTGTGTGTGATCCCTGGAATCCAGGCACACATTCAATTTGTGATGCCGTATAAAACCGCCTTCACGCAGCACCCATTTTTGATTTTCCGAATCGTCGCATAGTTTCATGATGACCTGTGAGCCGCGTGAGAATTGCACCAGTGTTAAGCAGAGATCATCGTGTTTTATTTGCTGGCGCTTGGTGTAGGCCCACTCTTGATTGCCACCAGTGTTGTGGCACTGGAAGAGACCTGCAAATAAACGAGAAAATAAGGCACAAACAATGAAAAACAAAATTGACGTGAAAATGCGAAATTGTTGGGTGGAGAGAGAGAAGGCGATGAATTAAAATAAGAAATCACTCTTATCGTTTGCTTCCAGGCATTTGCCATTTTTTCCAATTTGTATTAAAGTCATTTTTTTTTGGCAGTAATGTGAATATGTCAATTAAATGTAAGGAAAGGGGAAGAGTTTTTGATTGCTTTTGGGGGATATTAAATTCTCTATAATCTCGCTTATCATTCAATGGACTTTAAAGGACTTTACTCTTGCATTTTCATGAAATTGTACAAAGGTCCATACACATCGAGAACCTAACATGCATCAAAAGCTTACGATGGTATCACCATTTGGAATATTTAAGATGAAATTCCTTGAGAAAAACTTCAACGAATTAATATTTTTTAAAGGTTCTCCCAAGTGGGAATATATTATATCTTCTGTAGGTGAATGCCCATGGTATCTTTTAAATAAAAACAAGTAAGGCAAGGTTAAAGACAGGCTGGGACGACATTGTGATACCTTACACCACTTTGCATAAATTGTAGAGCTACATATAACAAATAAACTGCATTGTGGGAAATTTATGAGTACTAACTCTAACTCTTTTAGTTAGCACCAAATATCGTTGTTATGGGGAGTATTTTACGGGTATGGGGGTGTATAATACAAAAGCGGATGAAACATATGTATGGAACCTATAGCTATATCTTAACAGATTTTCACCAAGTTTGACACTCTTGTTTCCTGGCTCAATTTGGTTATATGTACCAAATTCCATCCTATTTGGGCTAATATCACACATTTGGCGAAGCTATATATGGCAGCTATATCTAAACAATGGTTATCCGATTATCTCCAATTGCAATAGGGTTCGTTTTTGGAAAATGATTTGTGGACATTTTTTTTTCAATCAGACAATAAATGCGACCTTTACTATGCTTACAAAAACACATGGACAAACGGACGGACATACATAAATCGACTCAGAATGAAGTCCTATGAAGATCAGCAGTAGAAAGTGTGGGTATTTTTGGTTTTTTTTTTTTTTTTCTGTATGTTAAAAACAAATGCACAAATCATAACATCTGAAGGTGTTTTGAAATAGCGGACCGTAATTAGAAACACCTCCCGACCCGGACCTGCATAAATAATTTATTGTCCCTTATATCTTATAATACGAAATTTGAAACAATTCGGGTAATGATGTCGTTAATATCATCAAAATACCGAACAAAGGAGATACCGTTATAGTGGGCTATACGAGAATCATAGACAATTTGCCGTCGTAGGTTGTAATACTCATTACGGACTTTAAACTTTAAATGCAAATACTCGGAAGGAACTTCTAGTGTGGATTTTGGAACAATTCTATTGAAAAACATTGGCTAAAATCATGAAAAACCCGAATATCCGGAGATACCGTTATATGGGGGGTATAAAATATCGTGAGCCTATATGGACGATTCTCTTTCAGTAGGCAAAATACTCAGAAGAAACCCCTTGTGTGGATTTTCAGACAATTTCATTAAAAAATGTGACTGAAATCATCAAAATACCGAATATCGGGGGTACAGTTATATTTGGGGATATACGATATCGTGTATAGACAATTCTCTTCTATGGAATAAAGTACTCACGAGGAACTCCCTGTGAGAATTTTCAGATAATTCCGTTGAAAAATATGTCTAAAATCATCAAAATAACGAATATCGGGCGGTACCGTTATATGGTACAATATCGTAGACCGATATAGCCCATAAATTTAAATTTATGTCTATATCTCTCATATGTTTCAAGAGATTGGGTACATTCTAAAAATATCTGGGTACATTCTAATATTCTGGAGGGTGTATTAAAGCCTTGGGAACGCAAATATTTTTGCCGCAGACCTTGGACATGCCAACAGGACTCAGCACCATCGCATTCAGCACGCACCACCCAAGAATGGTTACAAAACGAGGTTCCTCGCTTCATTTCCAGCGCACAATGGCCACAAAAAATCTTCGGATACCAATCCGTTGGACTATTGTGTCAGGAGTATTTTTGGAAAGCCAGGTTGGCACTAAAAAATACCAACGTGTCGTTCACCTCAGGCAAGTGCCTCGCCGGGAAAGGGTCAAAATACCACAGTGCAACATACGGGCAGCATGTGACGTTTGAAGGCCATAATTCGTGCCAAAGGTGACCAATTCGAAATGCTATTCCGACATTTTGTAAAATTTCCGACATTTTGTAAAATTATGGCGTTTGATTTTTTTGCGGTTTTTATACCCTCTACCATAGTATGGAGGGTATATTATGTTTGTCATTCCGTTCAGCATAAAATTCTATGTCGATTTATCAATGTCCGTCTGTCTGTGGAAATCACTCTAGCTTCCGAACGAAATGAAGTAGGTTGATAAAATTTAACTCAAATTTGTACTATATCTGCAGGACTTTTGGTATTGAAAATGGACCATGTAGGTCCACGTCTTAGTATAGCCCTCATATAACGGTACCTCCGATATGCGGTATTTTGATTATTCTAGCGGTATTTTTTCCCGGAATTGTTTCAAAATTAATATTTAAAGTTCTTAACAGATGTTACGGCTTAAAACAGAAAATGGGCTATGTAGGTCCACGTATTCGTATAGCCCCCATATAACGGTACCTCCAGATATTCGATATTTTGATGATTTTAGCGACATTATTTACCGGAATTATTTCAAATTTGGTATTTGAAGTTCGTAATGGATGCTACAGCCTATGACATAAAATTGTCTGTGCAGGTCCACGTCTTCGTATAGCCCCCATATAACGTTACCTCCCGATATTCGGTATTTTGATGATTTTAGCGATATTATTTAACGGAATTGTTTCAAATTTTGTACATGAAGTTCGTAATGGATGCTACAGCCTACGACATAAAGTTGTGTGTGCAGGTACCCACAGATATTCGGTATTTTCATGATTTTAGCGACATTATTTACCGGAACTATTTCAAATTTGGTATTTAAAGTTCGTAATGAATACTATAGCCTATGACAAAAAATTGTCTGTGCAGATCCACGATATTTTGATGATTTTAGCTAAATTATAAACAAATTTTTTTTCAATTTTCGCATTTAAATATTGTAATAGCTTCTAATAAAAGTTGCCTATGCAGGTCCACGTTGTCGTATAAACTCCAATATACGGCTACATCAGGTATTTCCAAGATTTTAACAGAATTTTTATCGGATTTTATTTGTTTGAAAATTGTTAAATTTGTACCAAATGTGGAGGGTATTCAAAGTTGGGCCCGGCCGAACTTACAACTTTTTTACATGTTTTATCTTAACCTGTATTTCGAATTTAATTGCCTTAAAATTCAATTAATACCCAAATTCCCAATATGAACGTTTATTTGCTACACGTTGCTCTACTAAATAGTCACAGTGGTGTTGGGTACTATAAAGTCGGCACCGCCCGATTTATGTCTTTCCTCATTGGTTCTAGCTGCTCAATTTTGCACCTCATTACAGAATTTCTTTCAAATTTATTTGAAAACAACAATTAAACTGTCTTTCTTCCTGTTCATTTTATTTCATTCCCTCTTTATACTAAACCCTGTACCCTTTTTCAACTCACTTTCGACAAACTAAATTTTAACCACATCCAGGATGTGATAACAACAACAATTACTCCCCCCCTTCACAACAATTACATATGCACTTGAACAATCGTATAAAACATTGAAAACATCCTTTTTTGTCCTTCTTCCCCATTCGCTTTTTATTATTACTTACCAACTGTGCCATCCGCCAAATTTCCCATGGTATCCAAACAGAAATCACCTTGGCGAAATTGGCCGAATTCATATGAATCAGGAACTTGTAAATCAGGATAAACATTTTCTAAGTACCATTTGAATGGTTTGCAGTGCAATTTCTCCTTGAGAGCCAAACGGTCGTCGATGCTGCGGTTGAAGTTGGGGCAGCGGTGGCGGTGTCGGATGTAAGCAATGGAAATCAAAATAAAAGATGGAAATAGAGAAATGGGAAAAAAAAGAGATTATATTAATAAAACCATGAAGGAGGTACGTACACACATACATATGTGGGATATTAAAAATGAAAAAGGAAGTTAAGAGAAGTGAAATTCATTCACTTAATAGGATAGCATAGACAGCTTTCACAATCTAATGAAAATTGCATAAAATGGGGGAAAATATCACTCCGAGGATAGGGTACAATAAATGAAAAATGGATAGAGAAAAAATTAAAAGGAAATGCCAATAACAATATTTACTGGGTTGTTCCCTTAGGAGCCGTATCCTGGCACGAATCTTAAAGCAGCATTTATATTTTAGTGAGGATAGAAAAATCTATTTTTAACTGAATTGGTAAAATCAATAGACAGAAAACTCGTTTTTTATTGGAGGTACTAGTCGAAAAGTCGTAAAATTGATACTGATCTCGGCCACATATGGAACCATCTAAATCTATATCTATATTAACAAAATGGACTGACTGACGAAAAAGCTTCATCAACCACAAAACGATATGGCTGAAACTCTTGAAATTTTGGGTGAGGGTCACTCTTGATCCGACTATGTCAGATAAGGCTGTGTTTTTAGAAATTCGTACTATAACGGTATGAAAAGTACTAAAAGGTACTTATATGGTTCCCTTTGTACTTGACCAACTAGTGAGGTCGAACTCTTAAATTTGGAATGATTGTCACGGATGGAGTCATGTATCAAAGGGTTTTTGGAAACTCGTAGTATAAGTGTACGAAAAGTACTAAAATGTACTACATTTGGTACCATTTCGTATCATGGGAACGGTTAGAGCTAAAAACTTGAAATTTGGAAGGTTGAGAGAGTAGATTCGTAAGGATGTAGTTTTGGAAACGTGTACTCATGTATTCGAAAAGTATTAAACGGTACTAAATTTGGTACAATTCGAAGTTGGAGGAACGGATGGAGCTGGAATCCTGAAATTTGAAATTAACATCACTGGCGGATAGTAGGTTTGGGGTATGGAGGTAGTTTCGAAATTTGGACTTATGTGCACGAAAAGTACTTATTGGTACTAAATTTGGTACAATTTTGATTTGGATGAATCGATGGAGGTGTAACGCTTAAATTAGGAAAAAAGATTAATATTGCATTGTAGGACTGAGGTAGTTCGTACTGAGTGTACTAAATAGTACTAAATTTGGTACATTTTAAGTCTTGGTTACACAATAGAGTTGGAATACTGACATTTGGAAATAAGATTACTATGTCATTGCAGGGTTGTTAAATGCAGAAAATTTTGAAAATTCATACTTATGTGTACCAAATGGTACTAAATTTGGTACAATTTCAGTTGGGTGAAACAATAGAGTTGTTATCGTGAAATTTTGAAATAAAATTACAGTCGGAGTGTAGAATTGGTATATGGAGGAAGTTTTGGTAATTTTTACTTATATGTACTAAAACGTACTAAATTTAGCGGAATTTTGATTTGAGCAAACCTATAGGGCTGAAACCCTGAAATTTGTTGGAGAAGAAGTCTAGAATTTGGAGGAATTTTAAATACGTATCTGTTATTATTAAGAATTTTAATGAAGAAGAAGGTTGAAGAAGGTTTTGGAAATGTGTATCATAATTGTACTAAAATGTACTAAATTTGATATTGGGTAAAGGAATAGAGCTAAAATTCTGAAATTTGATAAAAATGTCACTGTTGGAGTCTGTGGTTAAGATATGGAAGTGGTTTCGAAAGTATGTACCATAAGTGTACGAAAATTACTGGATGGAACTATAGTAGGTACAATTTGGTACTGGGTGAACAGATAATGCTTGAAATCCTTAATTTTGTGTTAGAATTGCTGTTCATGTGTGTAGCCTGTTCACATGGAGGTGGTTTGGAAGTGTGTACGATATTTGTACGAAAAATACTAAATGTTACTAAATTTGGTATTTAGTAAAGGAGTAAGGTTAAAATCCCTAAATTTGATATTGAGGCCTCTGTTGCTATCTGCAATTGAGATATGAAAATGGTTTTGGAAATATGTACCAAAGTTGTACTAAAAAGTACTATATTTTGTATTGCATGAACGGATATAGGGCTGGAATTCTCAAATTCTGTATTGAGGTCTCCGTTGGTATGTGGAATTGAAATATGGAAGTGTTTTGTTGTGCGAAAAGTAATTAATAGTAATTAATAGTACTGTATGTGGTACAATTTAGTGTTGAGTGTACAGATAGTATTTGAAATCTGAAATTTGGTATTAAGTTATCTATTACTGTGTAGCCTGGACATATGGAGATGGTATTGGAAATGTGTACTATAATTGTACGAAAAGTTCTGAATGGTACTATATGTGTTTGGTAATAGATGGTAATTACTTAGAGACAGACGTTTGAAACTGCGTTTAATATTTGAACGAAAAGTATTAAATGGTACTAAATTGGGTATTGAGTCATCGTTGGTATCTGGAATTGAGATATGGAGGTGTTTTGGGAAATTCTTATTATAATTGTAGGAAAAGTACTAAATTTGTTTTTGGATAAAGGAATAGAGCTTAAATCCTGAAATTTGATACTGATGTCTCTGTTGGTATCTGAAATTGAGTTATGGAATTGTACCATAATTGTACTAAAAAGTATTAAATTTTATTTTCGGTGAAGGAATAGAACTTAGATCCTGAAATTTAATATAGATGTCACTGCCCTTGTCTGTGATTAAGATTTGTACGAAAAGTACCAAAAAATTACTATATTTGGTACAATTTGGTATTGGGTGATCAGATAGCGTTTGAAATCTTATATTTGGTATAAGGGTCATGTGTTGCCTTGATACATGGATGTGATTTAGGAAATATGTACTAAAATTGTACGAAAAGTACGAAATGGTCCTATATTTGGTATTGGATGAAGGGATAGGAATAATTCTGAAATTTAATATTTAGATTTCTGGTGATATCTGTGTTTGAGATTTTGCGGTGGTATGGAAATGCGTTCTATATTTGTACAAAAAGTACTAAATTTGGTACTGGGTGAGAGAATGGTGCTGATATCCTAAATTTTTGATAGAGATGTCACTATTGGTGTCTGTGACTAAGAAATCGAGGTAGTTTATGAAATGAGTACTATAATTGTACGAAATCTACTATATTTAGTACAATTTGGTATTGAGTGAACAGATGGTGATTGAAATCTGAAATTTTGTATTATGGTCACTGTTCCTGTGTAGCATTGATACATGAAGATGGTCTCGGAAGTATGTACTATAATTTTACGAAAAGGACTAATTAGTACAAAATTTGTTACTGCTTGAACGGATAGCTGAAATCCTCAAATTTGCACATTATATTTAAACAGACAACTGACCCTGGAGGAACGAAATCCATTTCCTTATATTTTATGGTTATTAAACTACAACATCAACTAGTTATTGGATTACTGCGTCAAAATATGATGCAGAGTAAACTACCCGATATCCCGCAGCAAAGCCAATACTACACAACAAACAACAGCCACTTTATTAATCTGCTAACACACACTCACACCTTTGTTTAACCACAAAAACTGAAAACATACATACAGAGGAGATACATACCAACTTATGTTGGAGTCTCTCCACCACTTTCCGGCTCAATCAATTCTATATTCCTTGCATTCAAAAGGCCTGCCACAATTCACACTGACACTCATGGTCCTAACCAATACAACACAAGCTAACCGCAACCACATTTCTACACACACTCACACACATACATACATACACAGATCCATATACAAGAATTCGTTCAATCACAATCAAAGAACAGATGAATTGTGGACCGAAAACAGAAAACAAACTCAAATAAAAGCATACAACAAAAAATAGAACATTTGTCAAATACTGGTGGCTCTTTTTTGGGCTGTTGAGATACTCACTTGCCAAACGGAATATTCTTGGCCAACGGCACTGCGGCATAATAGTATTGCTTGTAATCATCCATCCACACTTCAGCAGCACGTCGGGTATTGCGTGCAAACACATTGCCACTGCCACCAGGGAACGTGTACGGGTGACGTTTGCGGAACACATGGCCCACCCGACTGCATGGTATAATTTCCAGGCTGCCACCGCACTGCCATACACGGAATGAGATTTCGAGGTTCTCACCGCCCCACACGTCCATTTTCATATCATATTTGCCCAGTTTATTGAAATAGGCTCGATTGATAACGAACAGACCGCCGGCAATCATGGGTGTTCGAATGGCTGTGGTCGGATCATGTTGACGTGCCGTTCGCTCGGCCGGACTCAGGTATTCCCATTTGAAAATGAGATTCCAATCGAAACCGCCACGCAAATCGGCCGAAGCGCCAATGTACTGGAAGTTGTCCATGCTGATGACATCGATAACGGGGCACACGACACGGGTGGGATCCTCTTTGACACGTTCGAGCAAAGGTTCCAGCCACTGTTCGTTGCACTCGACATGGCTGTCGAGGAAGGTGAGGACTTCCGAGACCGCAGCATCGGCACCGCGTACCCGTGAACGTACCAAGCCTTCACGTTTGTCGTTGCGTATGATGCGTACCTTATCGATTTTCGCCAATTCCTGGCCATCCTCAGCTGTGCAGGCACGAAAAAAGAACCAGGCAAAGAAAAACATTGGAAAATTTCCGTTAATGACACCAATCCTTTACATTAATCGCATGATTTATACTTACGATGATCACTGAAGTCATCCACCAAAATTATTTCACGTATTAAATGCTCGGGACTGCGATTAAGGACACTGTTCAGCAATAATGGAAAAGGAGAAAGAAAACAAAAAGTAGAACATAAAAAAACGTATTACCATTAAATTATTTTGTAGGGTTTAAATGTAATTTATGACCAAATAAATACCCCACCACCACCACCCTGGCCACAACAACCACGGCAATGGACTTTTAAAACACTCCACTGGCTGTGGTCCACATTGTGGTCATTTATAGCTCTTACCTTACAATGGTCCGCAACAACGTGGATCTAGCTTCATTGTGGAATGTTATAATCACACTGGTCTCAGGCAAATCCTTGCGATATGATTTGTTGCGGCACCTGAAATATGTGAATGGTACAAAGAGAGAGAGAAGAGAAAAGAACCGAATGATAATTCATTAATAAATGTGGGCAGAAGTGTAACAGATGTTTATTTTCAAAAGAATGTAAATCCAAGGAGACGGATTATGAAGAGCAAGAAGAGGACAAAAATTAGTCAGCGAATTTAAGAGGTGGAAAATGTTACATATACAGGGTGAGATGAAAAAACTACAACTAACTTCAGACTGCTGTGATTTCAAGGCCAGTCGTCCGACAGCTGTTAAAATTATTCCAGTGATAGTTCATTATATTGTTTACAAGCGTATAAAAGCATTTGGGTGAGAATTTTCCAGAATAAAAAATATTCGTGATGGATTTAAAGGGTGATAGTGTGATTTCTTTATATTTGGCTGGAAAACCCACCGGATACAAATCCGTTGGACTATTGTGTCTAGAGTATTTTGGAAAGCAAGGTTGGCACTAAAAAATACCAAAGTGCCGATCACCTCAAGCAAGCGCTTCGCCGGGAATGCGCCAAAATACCGCAGAGCAACGTGTGACGGTTTCATTGGCCGAAGCTGTATACAAATCTAAACCGACCTAAATAAAATTTGACAGAGGTATTTTCGAGCAGTAGCTGATGCCCTGTTGGATGAAACATATATAAAGGAACTATAGCTATATCTGAACCGATTTTAACCAAATTTAAAGTACTTGTTTTTAGGATGAATTCAGTCGGAATAGCCAAAATTCAGTCCATTTGGGCTGGCATTAGCCATTTGGTGCACATAAACCTGATATCGGATAAAGATATATCCGATGGGAGCTATAACCCAATCTGGTCTGATCTCGATAACATTTGAGAGAGGTGCGCTCCATATGTTATCTGGTGCGAAAAATCATTCTTGTGGAGTGCATATTACGCAAGTGAGAGACTTAAAACCCTATTTCGGATGAAACATATATATGGGAGCTATATCTGAACCAATTTTATTGATATGCCATGGAAATATATAGATTTCGTTACTATGCCTTTACCATCAGCCCTGACCGACTTCTGCCTCGTTTTATTAATAATTGACCTCCCCCCATTTTAATACATTATTCTTTCCAATCCCCAATTTGATTTTCTTGCTTCTAGACTGAGTTCGGTCGGATGTTCCAAAATTCTGGTAATTTCAACTGATATTGGCCATCTGGTGCCCAATTAACCCGAAATCGGTTGCCCATATTCGACGGACCCATCTGGCAACGCCATAACTTTTGACAGAGATGTCACATCGCTTAATGACATACCGCGTTTAAAGCGTCAGTCCAAGCAGATTTTTACCATGAACCAATACACGCCACGCGAGCGCTCTGAAATAGTTGAAATTTACATTCAACAGAAGAAGTCAATTGAGAAAACTCAACGTGCTTTTAAAACATTAGAAAATGTGAGAAGTGCGCCTTCTAAGAACACCATTAAGCGTTTATACGAAAAATTTTCGACTGGTAAGGCTCTTTCTAATCCGAAGAGACCATATAAAAGTCGACCAAGGCTATCGGCCGAGAATATCGCTGCCGTACGAGCCAGTGTTGAGAGGTCCCCAAGAACATCCCAAAAACGCCGTTCTCAGCAGTTGGGCATGGCTCGGTCCACTTTACAACGGATTATTCGCATTGATTTGCATCTGTTCCCATACAAAATTCAATTGACGCAAAGAATGTTGCCTGCGGACAAGCCTTGTCGATTGGAATGGGCCCTAAGGTCCGTCGAATATGGGCAACCCGTATATGGGAGCTACATCTGAACCAATTTTATTGATATGCCATGGAAATATAGATTTCGTTACTATGGTAAGTTATTGTGAAATATAATGAAGAATATGATTATTTCACATAATCCTTCTAAAATAATCCTTTTAGGGCATTTGTAACTTTCTTCGATCCCCTTTAAATAGAGTTTTTTTTATATTCCAAAAAAAGGACCAAAAAGACCCCTTTGTTGACTCACATGGGTGTTAAAATTTACGAGCAAAATAATCTTGTTTGTTTTTGTCTGCAATATTTACAAACACTTCATACCTAATTTTAATGGATTCCAAGAAATCTTATTCCGAAAATTTCTAAATATGAGGGGGGAAACTAGCCCCTGCAAAATACCACCTTTTATTGGAAACTGCCTTTATCATCAGCCCTGACCGACTTCTGTCTCGTTTTATTAATAATTGACCTCCCTCCATTTTAATACATTATTGTTTCCCATCCCCAATTTGATTTTCTTGCTTCTAGACTGAATTCGGTCGGATGTTCCAAAATTCAGGTCATTTCAATTTATATTGGCCATCTGGTACTCAATTACCCCGAAATCGGTTGAAGATATATATGGGAGTTATATCTAAATTTGAACCGATTCCCACCAATTTCAATCGGTTTCGTCCTTAGGCCAAACAAATATTGTTTGGAAAAATTCATCTCAATCGGATAATAAATGCGACCTGCATTTTGTCCACGAAAATACACAATACAAATACAGACGGACGGACACACTGACATGCATAAATCGACTCAGAAAGTGATTATATGAAGGTACTCAAATGTAATATTGGGTCTATCTCGCTTCCTTCTCCATGTTACAAACAAATGCAGAACGACATTTTATCCCTACCATTATGTGTTGTAGGATATAAACACAAGTTGCACTCAGTCTTCAAAATAACTTTTAACGAAATTTCATCGAAATTCATCAATTAAAACTCCAAACTTAAAATTCAGATGAATTGTATTATCGGCCTTGTGATTTGTGAGGCAAGGAGGTTGGTTGGGGTTTCATTTAAATCTAAAAGCTCTGAGAAAATCATCTGTTGATTCTCTTTTCATCCCTTGATTTTCTCAGAGGTCTTGTAGAATTAAAGAAACTAACAGAAGAATATAGTTCACCACCTTGCCTTACAAATCATATGTCGATCATCGAACTTATCTCAATTCTAATTTTGGATTTTGTAATTAATAAATTCAAAATATTATCAAATTTTATTTAAACAAGTAAAAAAGCAGTAAGTTCGGCCGGGCCGAACTTTGTATACCATCCACCATTTGGAACGAATTAGAAAATTTTCAAAAAAATAAAATCCATTAAATTTTATTTTAAATCTTTACAATATCTAATATAGGAAGGTGCCGATATATGGGGGTATATATGATACTGTCGACCTATTAAGACAAAGTACTCATAAAGCACTCCTTGTGTGGATTTTCAGATAATTCCATTGAAAAAAGTGGCTAAAATAATCAAACTACTGAATATCTGGGAGTATCGTTATATGGGGGATATACGATATTACGGACCTATATAGATAATTCCCTTTCACGTGGTAAAGTGCTCACATAGAACTCCTTGTGTGGATTTTCAGACAATACGATTTGAAAATGTGGCCAAAATCATCACAATACCCAATATCGGGGGTACCGTTATATGGGTGCTATACGATATCATTAACCTATATAAAGAATTCTCTGTCGGGGGGTAAAGTGCTCACAAAAACCCCTTGTGTACAATTTCCGTTGAAAAATGTGGCTAAAATCATCAAAATACCGAATATCGAGGGTACCGCTATATGGGGGATATACGATATCGTGGACCTATATAGATAATTCTGTGCTGAGGAATAAAGTGACCACATGGAACTCCTTGTGTGGATTTTCAGACAATTCAGTTGAAAAATTTGGGTAAAGTTATCAAAATACCGAATACCGGGGGGTACCGTTATATGGGGGCTATACAATATCGTGGACATATATAGATAATGCTCTGCCGAGGTATAAAGTACCCACAAGGAATTACTTGTGTGCATTTTCAGACAATTCCATTGAAAAATGTGGGTAAAGTTATCAAAATACCGAATATCGGGGGTACCGTTATATGGAGGATATAAAGAGAGATCTGTGCAAAATATATAAAAGAGAGATCTGTGCAAAATTTTAGCTTCCTATCTTAATTCGTTTAGACTGTAGCGTGATTACAACAGACGGACAGGGCAAAATCGTCTTAGAATTTTACGCTGATCAAGAATATATATACTTTGTTGGGTCTAAAATGATTATTTCGATGAGCTACAAACGGAATGACGAACTTAATATACCCTCTATACTATGTATGGTGGAGGGTATAAAAAAAGCTTGCAAATTCTAAGAAAAAAGAGGTAGGACAGGAGTTCAACCGTGTTGAACAACACCAATTGTTTCAAAAACTGTAAAAATGCTTATTTGTCGTGCATTTATTTGAAAACATAGGTATGACATGCAAATCCCCTCCCTCCCCACTCTTGCTTCCGAACAAAATGAAGTAGTTTGATAAAATTTTGTTGAGATGCATTTTATATCCGTAGAATTGTTGGCAGCTCCACATTTTAATATAGCCTCATATAACTGTACCGCCAGATTTCAGTTATTTTGGCTGCTTTAATGATATTTTTGAGCAGAATTTGCTGGAAATTGGCAGTTTGTGTTCCCAGAATATAGGAAACATCATTCGAGAGAACTCTTCACATAGGTCCAAGGTTTTTTTTATAGTTTCCATGTAACTGGACCTTCAGATACTTGATATTTTTCACCGTTATTAACCGGAATTGTTTCAAATTCGGTATTTGGACCTCCACAGACAGAAAATTGCTAACCTTTCTATATTATATTGATTGATGTATATATTTATTGATGATTTTAGCTACACTTTTTACAGAATTACTTCAAATTTGGAATTCGCAATGCGTATTACTTCCCATGACAGAAAATCTAGTGTGCAGATCCACGTCTTCGTATTGCCCCCAAAAAACGGTACCTTCCATTATTCATTATCTTCATGATTTTACCTGAATTTTTCAAAAGAATTATCTCAAACTTGGTATTTGGAGTTCATATTAATTACCGCCCTAGTTGACAGAAAATTGGCTGTAAAGGTCCACGTTTTTTGTATGTGCACGTATTACTAATGTTCGGAATTTTTTAAACGTATGTTTTGAAAAAGAAGTTTTTATTTTTATGTTTATGTGTTTTTACTTGTTTAAATTACATTTTAAGATTCCGTACATATCTTTTAATCAATTAGACCCACATTGGTTTAAAATGTTAAAATCTTAATGAATAATATTTCATGACCAGGATCTTAAGGGGCAGATCTTAGTGCAGAAACTGTAAATATGTCAGAATTCAGGAGGTGCCGTAAAGGCTTTAACGAATAATGGACCTGTAAAATATCGAAAATTGTAAGGTAATCCCATATATAAGCTATACTAAATAGTGGCCCCGTATCGAAAATATTTTGAAGCAGAAATATCATTAGGTATATTTCCTGCCTATTAAACAGCCAGGATGTAGGTATATTTTCTGTGTTTATTCGGTGGAAAATTGTCCCAGAAACCTTCAAAACCCCCAAAATCAAGATGAACCGTTAAATGAGGCTATAGATGATAATGTATTTATATTCAACCTGAAATGCGGTTGGTTTAGTGGGGAATTGTTGCTAAATATCCTTTTATTGTTGTTTTTATAAAAACAACGTTTGTTTATTAGTGGAGAACGATGGTAATGTTTACCAGGGGGTAAGGCAGGGAATACCTAGATTTCGGAAAGAGCCACCAATCCTCATCGGTTCCTTTGTTTTTTTGTCTGGGATATTCTCACCAGAAGTTATTTTAAAAATAACTTCTATGACAAACAAGTAAAAAAGCTGTAAGTTCGGCTGGGCCAAACTTTTAATACCCTCCACCATTTGGTACAAATTTGGCAATTTCCAAAAAATAAAATCCGTTAAAAATTCTGTTAAAATCTTAAAAATACTGAATGCTTATACGACGACGTGGGCCTGCATAGGCAACATTTGTCATAAGTTATTACAATATTTAAGTGTTTATAATGTAGCTAAATTCATCAAAATACCGAATAGGGGGGTTACCCTTATATGGGGGCTACACGAAGACGTGGACCTGCACAGACAATTTACTGGCATGGGCTGAAGTATCCATTACGAACTTCACATGCGAAATTTGAAACAATCCCGGTAAATAATGTCGCTAAAATCATCAAAATACCGAATATCGGGGGTACGGTATATGGGGGCTATATGAAGACGTGGACCTATATGGCCCATTTTCTGTTTTATGCTGCAGTTTCTATTACGAACTTCAAATACCAAAATTGGAACGATTCCGCTAAATAATGTCGCTAAAATCATCAAAATACCGAATAATGGGGATACCGTTATATGAGGGCTATATGAAGACGTGGACCTACATGGCTCATTTTTTGACTTAGTATGTAGTATTCATTACGAACTTCAAATACCAAATTTGAAACGATTCCGGTAAACAATGTCGCTAAAATCATCAAAATACCGAATATCGGGAGGTACCGTTATATGGCGGCTATATGATTACTTGGACCTACATGGCCCAGTTACGAACTTAACCTGCTTACTGGCAAAATATACATGTGTGCAAAATTTTAGCCTTCTATCTTAATTTGTTCGAAAGATAGCGTGATTACAACAGACAGACAGACAGACGGACAGACAGACAGACAGGCAAACAGACGGACGGACATGGCTAAATCGTCTTAGAATTTTACGCTGATCAAGAATATATATACTTTGTTGGGTCTGACATGTGTATTTCGAGGAGTTACAAACGCAATGACAATATTAATATACCAGCCATAGTATGGTGGAGGGTATAAAAACATGTTTTACCCAAATGAGGAACCAAAGAATTAAATAAAACTAAAATTATTTTGGGAAGTCTTCTAAATCTTACAACCGCACTTATAAACATTTACATCTTTCTCCACTTGTTATGCTTTCGTTCAACCTGAACGAAGTAGCATAACCATGAAAGTTGGTTTTGTCTCTTACAACAAAAAACCCATCGTCGACCGTAGAACAGCGTGACTTCTTTGTTTTTCCATTTTTTTGAAAAAAATTCATAAAATAATGTGATATCAACAGACTGTTCAATATACACCTCACCTTAGACTTCATTGATAACGAAGAATATATAAAACTTCTGGCGTCTACGACAAATATTTCGAGGTATTGCAAGGGGAGAGAAAAATCAAAATGTGACATGATGCACAAATCTACTGCAATTTTTACGATATCATAAAGGGAAAATTGGTTATAGTTGTAAAACATTTTAGATTCTTGAGGTTCTGGAACTAACCAATGATGTAAATGGCAAAAACTAAAATTTTTACTTTTTAACATATTAAGCCCAAAATATACAACAGGTCCACTGTATCAAATTCGTATTTGAAATATTGGACTCAATAAACTGACACTCTTGTCACCTCATTTTTCCTCGCTTTAAATATCAAGCACAACACTCCATGTTATCTCCTTCTTAACTCAACAACAATATACTCACATTGGATGTCTTGTATCGGGAATTTCTCGATTACTCGGCAACGCATCGCTGGCTTCCTGATTGAAACGATTGCGTATGTATGGATCTTCACCCGTCCGTAATGCTCCGCCACGAATGTAGCCAGCCTCATCGAAATATTCCCAATCACCGTTATTTCCAGCTCCAGCCACGGCAGCACCATTTGGCGAGGCTGCCAAGCCACTGGATATAATGAGGCGTGATGTCTCCTCTTGTGGTGATAAACCGTTCAGACCTAAACCACCAATACGGGCATGCAATCCGCCAGGATCATCGCTAGATGCTATGACATTGACATGCAAGCCATTCGCATTCTGTTGTGGTCCGAAGTGTAGTGGCTGATTTGCAGTATCCTGCAGCAATAACTGTTGTTGTTGCTGCTGCTGCTGTTGTGTCTGTTGCCTTAAGGCCGATGCCGAGGGCACTGTTTCATCCTGGTATTGTTGCATAGCCTCACGTAACCTTAGAGCACGATTTTCCACCTGAAATGAAAACAAAGAAAAAGACCAGAAAAAAAATGAATTGCATGTTTAGCATAGAATGTTGAAGATAAGGTAGATGAGAGAGAGGGAGAACATGTTTTCGAAACACAGCCCGAGTCGATGTGACATAGATTCGCATAACTCGACCATAAAAGAGTGGAATTAATGAAGTAGACATTTGTGTTATAATGATATAATAAGTGTTGCATACCAATAGGCGTCACAGCACAACAAAGCCCAAAGTGGGGATTTAATAGAAAAAGTGGTTATCATGTTGTTTGGAATCATTCAAGCTTGAGGTGTTTTCATGGAAAACAAAACAGGACGAGGAGTTTAAATTTAAATATGTTGTGGGAGTTGGATATTCGAAATTAAATGCTCAACGAAGCATAGTTGTCCTGTTGTTAATAGGGGTTTATTTTAAATATAATTGAGATTATAAAGTTTGTGTTTAAAAATTATGAAAATAATGGTGGACTCTAAAAAAACAAATACTTTTTAGGTCGATGTTTGTTGCGAGATCCAATAATGTACTGTGAATGATGCTTTACTTATATGAAATGGAAGGAGATTTAAATTAAATCAGAAATGTCTTACTAAAATCAAAAAGGCTAAAAAAGGCCCCTAAAACGAGACAATAATAAATAAAAAAGTAGCAAGTTCAGCCAGGACGAACTTCTGATAACCTCCACCATGATATATACAAAGTCAAAATGAGGGCATATACGTCAAAAAAAAAAAAACAGTTAGACAAAGTCAAAAGTCGGGTGGGGCCAAATTTATGATACCCTACCTTTAGAAGAGCTCCATTAAAAAATACATATTTGAAGTAGATTCTACCACCTATCAACATTTGGCTTTAGAGCACTTATAATTTGGTTTCAAAGGGAACTAATATATTGGAGGTATGTCCAATTCTGAATCGATTTTCACTAAATTTGACGGAGACATTTTTATATTTTATACGAAATAACATTGCCATAGGGTGCATGCTATCACTTCAAGAAGCATTATATAAAAAAATATATCGGAGCAGAGTTCTACCCGAAATTCACTCCATTTGGGCTGATATTACCCATTATTTGCACAATAAACCTGAAATCGGATTAAAGATATATATATTATAGCCGCAAAGCCAAAGTTATTTCCGAGCCCTGTAAGAATTCTGGTAGCAAATATCAATGTGAGGGACTCAAAACCCCGAATCGGTTGAATTTAGCCAAAATTGAGGTAATTTTGGCTGATATTGGCCATTTGGTGCACATTTTACATGATATCGGTAGAAGATATATATGAGAGCTATATACAAATCTGAACCGATTTTGATACAATTTGGCAGAGGCATTTCTTGCAGTACTTGATATCTGGTACCAAATATCATTTTTGGGGAGTGCATATTATGAATGTGAAGGACTTAAAGATTAAATCGGATGAAATGTACAGGGTTGCCCATATTCGACAGACCCATCTGGCAACGCCATAACTTTTGACAGAGATGTCACATCGCTTAATGACATACCGCGTTTGAAGCGTCAGTCCAAGCAGATTTTTACCATGAACCAATACACGCCACGCAAGCGCTCTGAAATAGTTGAAATTTATATTCAACAGAAGAAGTCAATTGTGAAAACTCAACGTGCTTTACTACGGATTATTCGCATTGATTTGCATTTGTTCCCGTACAAAATTCAAATAACGCAAAGAATGTTGCCTGCGGACAACCCTCGTCGATTGGAATGGGCCCAAAGGTCCGTCGAATATGGGCAACCCTGTATATATGGAGATATTGCTATATCTGAACCGATTTTTTCCAGATTTTATGTACTAACTTCTAGACTGAATTCAACCACCAATTGCGGTCCTTGCAAAACAAATTGATTCAAATTTAGTACTATTTAGTACAGGCAGCACAAGTTTTTAGCTCTATCCGTTCACCAATTTGGGAACTTTTCGTAACCTTAAAGATCGAATTTCCCAAAACACATCTATCCCACAATTCATCACTACTTTTTGTACCCTACACCACATAGTGGCAAGGGTATCATATCTTTGTGCATTGGTTTGTAACACGCAGAAGGAAGCGAGATAGACCCTTTGTTACTTTTGAGGATCTGAATAGAATCACTTTCTGAGTCGATTTATGCATGTCAGTCCGTCCGCCCGTCTGTCCATGTATTCTTGTGAACAAAATGCAGGTCGCATTTAGCATCCAATTGATATGAAATTTTCCACATAATGTTTGTTTGGCCCAAGGACGAACCCTATTGAAATTGGTGAGGATCGGTTCAAATTTAGATATAGCTCCGATATATATCTTCAACCGATTTCGGGTTAATTGTGCACTAAATGGCCAATATCAGTCCAAACGACCTTAACATTGGCACTTCCGACGGAATACAGCATTGAAGCAAGTACATCAAATTTGGTGAAAATTGGTTCAGATATACCTATAGCTCCCAGACATATGTTTCATCCGATTTGGGTTTTTGAGTCTCTCACATGCGTAATATGCATTCCACAACAATGATCTATGGTACCAGATATCATATACAACTCAGAAATAATTCCCTAAAATCTAGTCAAAATCGCTTCAGAGCTTTATCCGATTTCAAATTTATTGTGCACCATTTGGCTAATTTCAGCCCAAAATGGAATGAATTTCAGCACTTCCGACGAAATTTAGTCCAGAAGCAAGTACATAAAACTGTGTGAAAATCGGTTCAGATATAGCTATAAATCCCATATATGATATTCATCCGATTTGGTATTTAAGTCCTCCAAATGCGTAATATGCCCTCCACAAGAATAATATTTTTTGCCAGATATAAGATACAGCCCAGAAATTAATTTGTCAAATATTATCGAGATCGGTTCAGATTTGGATAGAGCTCCAATACAGGGTTGCCCACATTCGACCGACCTTTGGGCCCATTCCAATCGACGAGGCTTGTCCGCAGGCAACATTCTTTGCGTCAATTGAATTTTGTACGAGAACAAATGCAATCCAATGCGAATAATCCGTTGTAAAGTGGACCGAGCCATACCCAAATGCTGAGAACGGCGTTTTTGGGATGTTCTTGGGGACCTCTCAACACTGGCTCGTACGGCAGCGATATTCTCGGCCGATCGCCTTGGTCGACTTTTATATGGCCTCTTCGGATTAGAAAGAGCCTTACCAGTCGAAAATTTTTCGTATAAACGCTTAATGGTGTTCTTAGAAGGCGGATTTCTCACATTTTGTAATCTTTTAAAAGCACGTTGAGTTTTCACAATTGACTTCTTCTGTTGAATGTAAATTTCAACTATTTCAGAGAGCTCGCGTGGCGTGTATTGGTTCATGATAAAAATCTGCTTGGACTGACGCTTCAAACGCGGTATGTCATTAAGCGATGTGACATCTCTGTCAAAAGTTATGGCGTTGCCAGATGGGTCTGTCGAATATGGGCAACCCTGTATATATCTTCATCCGATTTTAGGTTTATTGTGCGCCAAATGACTGATATCAGCCCAAATAGACTGAATTTTGAGGCTTCCTAAGGAATTCAGCCCAGATAAACTTCAAATGTGAAAATCGGTTCGAATATAGCTATAGTTCCCATATATCTGTTTCAATTTGTGCCTAAAAACTTTATTACGTTATAAAGTAAAGTCACTACATGTGAACCGAACATTATGAGTACAGGGTGCCATAAAAAAACTGCAACAAAGTCAAATGCCATAATTTTTACATTTTTTGTTAAATTTTATATGATATGAAAGCAACAAATGTCGGAAATAGCATCAAATTTTAGAATATGTTAAGATCTGAAACGTCACACGCTGACCGAATGTTGCTCTGCGGTATTTTGGTCCATTCCTTGAGATGATCTACACTTTGGTATATTTTAGTGCCAAACTTGCTTTCTAAAATACTCCAGACACAATAGTCTAACGGATTGGTATCCGGAGAGTTTGATGGCCATTATGCGTGCTCAAGGCTTTAGTAAACCCTCCACAACATTTTCGCGATAATATTCGGCATTTATTCTGTTCATGTCCTGCGCTTAAGTTCTGGTGGCCACCCGAAGGGGCACATTTTCAGCTGATCTCTTTGGCAAGTAAACACGTTCATTTTGTTTGTTTACAAGCTGGTGGACAACGAATGTTTTCTCATCGGAGAAAACCAAATTCGGCAGTTCACCACTTTCGGCCAAGCAAAGCAACTCTTTGGCTCTTTTGAGTCTATTTTCTTTCTGTTGTGGTGTAAGTTCTTGCACTTTTTGGAATTTCAATAGCTTTACCCCGAGCTAATTTTTCAATATTCGCCGAATTGCGATATGTTCAGCTCACGAGCCATTTTTCGGTCACTGCGATGCAGGTTTTGATCAAGTCGCTTCTTTATTTTTCGAACCATTTCTGCTGATATTGCGGGTTTCTTTCGTCCACTTCCTTGACGTCGGGCTACGCTACCAGTACCACGGTACGAGACACAAAAGATTTATTCACATTTAAATGCTAGAGTGCTCTAACGATAGCCACTTCTGGTTTTCCAGCCAAATATAAAGAAGTCACACTATCACGCTTGAATTCCATCACGAATAACTTTTTTACTGGAAAATTCTCACTAAAATCCTTTTGTACGCTTGTAAAAAATATAATGAGCTGCCACTGGAATAATTTTAACAGCTATTGGACGAGTGGCTTAGAAATGACAGCAGTCTGAATGGATTTTCGAATATCAAAGTATTTGTTAATTCGGGCTTTCAAGCAATTTGACAGTGAACTACAGATGAATTATGATTTACTTAAAACATTGTTTTAACTTGCATTGTTTAAGAAGAATTCTATAAAAAAAATGGTATCCTCCTTACATTTAGAGCAAATTCAGTGCTGTAGGGCATCATTTGGTTGGCCCCCTCCGGCTATTACCCTTTTCTACTTTAACTTATTTCCTATGGTATTCTCCATCGTCCTGTAACGAACATCCCCATTTTCAACTTTGTTCCACATTTTCTGTTGCC